TATATTTTCCAGGATATCTCATCTTGAATATATTAGCAAGTTAAAATAAGATATACTATAAACATTTTATATTGCTTGAGGCAAACAAGCTGCCACTAGTACAGTCATAAACAAGATTCTCTTCTTGAGATAGAAGAGAATGAATCTTTCCTTTAAACTATATGTGTCATATTCTATAAATCATCCAGCATTCTATGGTGTGTTTGCTGACATAATTGAAACCAAGCCATTTTACAAGTTCATGGTCAGGAAACTAGTGAAGGGTTATAAGGCAATCACAGTTTGAGGGAATAGAACTTTCCTTGCTAGGAATGTATCCCATCATTCACAGTTACTGCATGAAGATAAAACACAGAGGTGCAAGATAAGGACTGTGGAAATGGCCATCAAGCCCCAAAATATAGGACATCCATAGTGACACAGATTTGCATCTAAATATTCAATCTTACTTGTAATATTTATTTAGTACTGATACAAGAATTCAACAAAGTTTCTTTCATTATATCCAGGTGTTTCAATTCAATGACAACTCATAATAGCTTGAGTGTTTCTTAGCAATTCTGGAAGACCCACTGGACCTGCAGGTTGGTAAACACTGACGTACACTCATGCATCATTCCACTGACCACCATTACACCCCACACCTCACTGACCACCATTAAACTCCCACACTTCACTGATCACCATTACACCCCCACACCTCAATGACCACCATTACACCCACACACCTCATAGCCCACATTACACTTCCACACCTCAGTGACCACAATTACACCCCTAAACCTCACTGACCACCATTACACTCCCACACCTCACTGACCACATTACACTCCCACACCTCACTGACCACCATTTCACTCCCACACCTCACTGACCACCATTACACCCCCACACCTCACTGACCACCTTTATACCCCCACACCTCATAGACCACATTACACTTCCACACCTCACTGACTACCATTACACCCCCACGCCTCATTGACCACCATTACACCCCCACACCTCACTGATCACCATTACACTCTCACACCTCACTGACCACATTACACTCCCACACCTCACTGACCACCATTACACTCCCACACCTCACTGACCACATTACACTCCCACACCTCACTGACCACCATTTCACTCCCACACCTCACTGACCACCATTACACCCCCACACCTCACTGACCACCATTATACCCCCACACCTCATAGACCACATTACACTTCCACACCTCACTGACTACCATTACACCCCCACGCCTCATTGACCACCATTACATCCCCACACCTCACTGATCACCATTACACTCTCACACCTCACTGACTACCATTACACCCCCAAATCTCATTGACCACCATTACACCCCCAAACCTCACTGACTACATTAAACCCCCATACTTCACTGATCACCATTACAACCCCACACCTCACTGACCACATTACACTTCCACACCTCACTGACTACGATTACACCCCTAAACCTCACTGACCACCATTACACTCTCACACCTCACTAGGATACACACCTGCTAGGAATGTATCCCATCATTCACAGTTACTGCATGAAGATAAAACACAGAGGTGCAAGATAAGGACTGTGGAAATGGCCATCAAGCCCCAAAATATAGGACATCCATAGTGACACAGATTTGCATCTAAATATTCAATCTTACTTGTAATATTTATTTAGTACTGATACAAGAATTCAACAAAGTTTCTTTCATTATATCCAGGTGTTTCAATTCAATGACAACTCATAATAGCTTGAGTGTTTCTTAGCAATTCTGGAAGACCCACTGGACCTGCAGGTTGGTAAACACTGACGTACACTCATGCATCATTCCACTGACCACCATTACACCCCACACCTCACTGACCACCATTAAACTCCCACACTTCACTGATCACCATTACACCCCCACACCTCAATGACCACCATTACACCCACACACCTCATAGCCCACATTACACTTCCACACCTCAGTGACCACAATTACACCCCTAAACCTCACTGACCACCATTACACTCCCACACCTCACTGACCACATTACACTCCCACACCTCACTGACCACCATTTCACTCCCACACCTCACTGACCACCATTACACCCCCACACCTCACTGACCACCTTTATACCCCCACACCTCATAGACCACATTACACTTCCACACCTCACTGACTACCATTACACCCCCACGCCTCATTGACCACCATTACACCCCCACACCTCACTGATCACCATTACACTCTCACACCTCACTGACCACATTACACTCCCACACCTCACTGACCACCATTACACTCCCACACCTCACTGACCACATTACACTCCCACACCTCACTGACCACCATTTCACTCCCACACCTCACTGACCACCATTACACCCCCACACCTCACTGACCACCATTATACCCCCACACCTCATAGACCACATTACACTTCCACACCTCACTGACTACCATTACACCCCCACGCCTCATTGACCACCATTACATCCCCACACCTCACTGATCACCATTACACTCTCACACCTCACTGACTACCATTACACCCCCAAATCTCATTGACCACCATTACACCCCCAAACCTCACTGACTACATTAAACCCCCATACTTCACTGATCACCATTACAACCCCACACCTCACTGACCACATTACACTTCCACACCTCACTGACTACGATTACACCCCTAAACCTCACTGACCACCATTACACTCTCACACCTCACTGACAACCATTACACCCCCACACCTCATTGACCACTATTACACTCCCACACCTCATTGACAACCATTACACCCCCACACCTCATTGACCACTATTACACTCCCACACCTCATTGACCACCATTGCACCCCCACACTTCACTGACCACCATTACACCCCACACCTCACTGACCACCATTACACCCCACACCTCACTGACTACCATTACACCCCACACCTCACTGACCACCATTACACCCCACACCTCACTGACCACCATTACAACCCCACACCTCACTGACCACATTACACTTCCACACCTCACTGACTACGATTACACCCCTAAACCTCACTGACCACCATTACACTCTCACACCTCACTGACAACCATTACACCCCCACACCTCATTGACCACTATTACACTCCCACACCTCATTGACAACCATTACACCCCCACACCTCATTGACCACTATTACACTCCCACACCTCATTGACCACCATTGCACCCCCACACTTCACTGACCACCATTACACCCCACACCTCACTGACCACCATTACACCCCACACCTCACTGACCACCATTACACCCCACACCTCACTGACCACCATTACACTCCCATATCTCACTGATCACTATTACACCCCCCACACCTCACTGACCACCATTACCCTCCCACACCTCACTGACCACATTACACTCCCACACTTCACTGACCACCATTACACTCCCACACCTCACTGACCACCATTTCACACCCACCTCTCACTGACCATCAAGACAAATGTGCGTTTCTCCAATTACTGCTCTTGATGTAGCAGCACACCACCTACAACAAACTGCTGTATTATGTACTATGTGCTATAGTGACTACCACTGCTACCACCTACTGCAGGACAGAGCAGTGAAGTGAAGGTGAGCAGGAGGTACCACTTTGCACTGTGGGGGACATGAAAGATCAACACCGATGGAAGCTTAAGCTTTGACATAAACCCTGAAACTTAATCTAAAACATAACTATATTCAACCCTTTAAAGCTAAACTCCAGTTAAAAATACATGAATATAAATAGCCCACTTATAATAAAATGGAAAAAAAACTCCTTTTCCTGCAATACGTACCTAGTGTACGAAAATCTCTATTCCGTACAGTATTTACTTTCAGTCACTAGATGTCCTCGGATTTCTCAGTTGATTGGTGGCCAGCAATATTCAGTCAACTTACTGGAACAAAAAAAACATCCAATGAAATCACCTTTATTCAAATATTCTTCCTGTAAATACACTTTTACAAAACATAAAGGAGGTATACAGCACTACCGCTAATGCGTTTCACACTTCATCAGCGCTTAGTCATAGCTCACAAAATAAAGTCACATACAGGTATATATTGTATACACAGACATATGAACAAAGCAATTCCTCAATTAGAGTAACCTGAGAGGACAATTAAGATGCAGCTGCCAATCATTAGCAGCTTCCACCATATTCATTAAAACTAAAATACAAAAACATACAAAAAACTGTTAAAAGCATTAGAATACAGTGTCTTAACATTTTGTTTTTGTATGTTTTTGTATTTTAGTTTTAATGAACATGGTAGCAGCTGCTAATGATTGGCAGCTGCATCGTAATTGTCCTCTCAGGTTACTCTAATTGAGGAATTGCTTTGTATATATGTCTGTGTATATATACCTGTGTGGCATTATTTTGTGGGCTATGACTTAGGCCGGCCATACTTCGGCCGATTTTTGCTTTGTTAGTGGGGCAATGGCACCGCCGATTTTCGTGGTTCCTCCCAATTTCGTTTATCGAGCATGCTGGAAAATTCGTGAAAAACAACCGATTTTCGAAATCATTGGTGGCACCATCGAATTACAGAACTAACGATGTTTTCGATTTTAAATCGAAAAATCGTTTGAAATTCGACCCATGTATGGCCTGCTTAAGCACTGATAAAGCATGAAACACATTAGCAGGAGTGCTGTATTCCCCATTACGTTTAGTGGAAATGTCTTTACATGAAGAATTTTTGAATAAAGGTGATTTAATTTGATGTGCTGCCAGTCAGATGTTCTATTGTTCCATGAAGTCTGCTGCAGACAGGGCCAGCACCAGACAGTATGCGAGTGGTAGTGGAAGAGGGGACTGATCAGGAGTGCTGTTCTGTATCTATTTAACCAACTTACTTTGATCTTAGGCTGTCATGAAGTGTCATCACGCAGCCTGGGACCAGATTATGGTATAGCATGAGTTTTGCATAGTGCCGGAGCAGCAGGGCGGACTGACAACTCATGGGGCCCCCGGGCAATAGGGGATCATGGGGCCCCTGTGTCCTTGCCCAAACTCAAAAAAGCCTATGAAAAAGGTACCAGGGGCATTTTATGGGGCCCCCTACTGACCCCGGGCCCTCGGGCAGTGCCCGAGTTTCCAAATGGTCAGTCCGCCCCTGTGCCAGAGTAAGTATACCCCACTGCCAGAGAAATGGAAGGACCCATAATGTCATCAGACTAATGATGAAGAGTATAAATAAGGTGTATGGGTGTAAGGCGTATGAGTCTGAATTGTTGGGACTATAAACGATCTAAACAGGAAGGTTTTCACCTAGAAAAATTGCAATATTGCTTCATATATGCAGAGTGAAGAAAAAATGACAACATATTTACTAAAAATATTACTTTCTGTAAGTGCACCAAAACCGCAGGATATAATAGACGTTTATGGCAAATCGCAGCTAACCCGCATGAAATCCATGGAGACACCACGCTGCACCCACACTGCAGGTGAAGCACAGTGAATCAGTGCGAAAGGGGCCTTAGTTAAAGAAGATCAGAGACTTTTGTTGCAGTTTTGGGACTATGAATCACTCTTGATACACTGTTTATTATTTTGTTACACTGTTTCATTTTTGGTCACACTGCACTAGGTGTTTAAAGTGGGACTGCACTGCATCTGTGCACCACAAACCAAAAATGCTATTTATTTCATTGTTAATATTCAAAACAAACTCCCCCATCCATCCATGTCTCCATGCTTTATTTTGCTGAGAGAGCATTTTGAAAAACACCCACTGGCATTTCCGGCAGTGGCCATCTTGAGTAAGGGCAGGTGATTCATGTAGTATTTATTTCCTAGAATGCATCTGCCCTTAGTTCAGGCATTGGCTGAGCTGAGAACCCTCCCTCCTCTGCTTAAGACTCCTGGGATGTATGAAATCATTTGCCTAGGCATTGAAACCAGGCAGTAACTGAAGAAATGTAAAAATAAAAACAGTTTAAAACAAGTAAATGTGATACACTTTCCTATCTATTTACTAATGCTGGCAGCATAAGGATTAAAATTAGTCCATGTTGCTTGAGAAAGTGAAGTTTCACTTTAAGAGATCTGATAAACTCTGCATTGGGATTATATTCATTTGTAAATGCTTTCATTTTCTCTTTTTGGTGGGGGTTTTGAATGCAGCAGCTTTTCATTCATGTAGCTTTGTGTGTGTTTATGGTGAGGAATATTGTAGGTTGTTTTATCAATTTGGAAAACTCATACAAATGAGCGCAGAGAGGCCACTCCAGGTGGAAACATGTGAACAGTTAATCATGAGCTCACCACTGCTGCCTTGTTAATCATATGCATGATGAAGAGAACTGGAAAAAAAGGCGCTGTGGAAAATGCTCTCAGACAAGCACCTTAGTGGAGGTGCATCTTTATTGGGTGAGATAAAGTAGCAAGTATAATAAAATGAACCAGCCTGAAGTGGACAGTGTGATTCCAATGGACGGCCCGTCCGCTCTAAGGGGAGCTGAGATCAAAGAATGCTCCTGTCGGCTTCAAATCACGTGGTGTCAGCGTACCAGCATCCTGGGTGGTGTCACCATGGCAAACGAAGGCAGTGTCCGGCGTTGGCTTCAGCTGGGAGCATATGTGGGGTTACCAAGACGACATGTTTCGCGCAGTTGCGCTTTGTCAAGTCTCTGGTAACCATGGCCGGCGGCCATTATATAGAAGACCATTAAAGGGAAGGCTGGCTGAGTGTAATTAGCAGGGGATGGGGTGTCAATCAGAGCGGACGGCTCGTCCTGAAGCAATGCTGAATACAAATTTAAAGGTACAGATTGCAAGTTATAAAAAATGATATGTATAAAAAACAATAGCATTGGAAAGCATGATATACTTTCATCTTTAGTAAAATAAAGGTAATACAATAACAAAAAAGAAAAAAAAAAAAAAACACACAAAGTTAAAAATGACATCGCTGGTTCATGGTTTTCTGTTTTATCAATTTGTATATATGTATTACCACTTTTCCAGTAATGACTGAGAAAATGTCACTATATGTTTGTACAGTATATCTTATTCAGGTGTTTCTTAGGAGAAGATGTCAGTTCAGCATTAGTCAATCCCAATAGAAAAGATCAGGGCAGGATGAGTCTCAGTAACATGCAAAGTAGAAGGTAAGCTTCTAAATCTTGAAGTCTTTGCTAGGACAGAAAGTGTTCATGTCTAGTTTACAATTGATAATGACATCTGACAGAACAGTAGAAACAATAGTTTTATGTTCTACTTGTTTCAAGTAATCATTGGGGGAGATTTACTAAAACAGGTACACTCAGAATCTGGTGGAGCCAGGGGTGGACTGACAACTCAGGGGCCCCTGTGTCCTTGCCCAAACTCAAAAAAGCCTATGAAAAAGGTACCAGGGGCATCTCATGGGTCCCCCTACTGACCCCGGGCCCTCGGGCAGTGCCTGAGTTTCCAAATGGTCAGTCCGCCCCTCGGTGAAGCTGTGCATGATAGCCAATAAGCTTCTAATTTCAAGTTTTGGCAATAAAGCAGAGCTGCACTAGATTTTGCATGCTCCAGTTTTAGTAAATAACTCCTATTGTATTTGAATGGATCTAGTGTTCTGGTCATATGCCTGGAACTTCTTGATTTATGTGGACTTCTAGATTTAGTCATAGGTTAGCCTGCAGTTTCCTGCCTCTGTATTCTTACCTTTTTGCTGCAATGCTTTTCCTCCTCTGATTCCATGGCTGTGCTCACCTATGGGCATCGCCTGCTATTCTGTGGGTTTTATTTCCTTCCCATCTATCACTTTCTGGCCCACCTCCAAGTCGCTTGCCTATATAAAACATGCTCAGTGTAGCTCACATTGCCTGAGCAACTTCACAGTTCTTTTGCTTTCTTCCCGTTCGTTTGCTATTTGTTTATCCTGTTCCTCACTACCTGTGTACTGATCCCAGCCTTGTCCCCCGTCTGTACCTGTTTGCCACCCGTCCTGACCTTGGCTTGTCTCCTCAATTTCCTGTTGTCGCCTGTTATACGCTGCTCAAACAAGTGGTCTCCGCATCTTCAGCTGGGCATACCTGAGGACCACAACCTGGTTCCAGTTTTCTGAAAGTCCATCCCCACCATCAGGCGCCCTGGTGAAGAAGAAATCTGGGGCTTAGAGTCCACACCCTGGGGAACCCTGAGTTGGCGATCTACAAGGGTTAACTACCACAGATGTTTGACAGGTTTGATTTCATTTATTCTTTATATACTTATTCTTTTCAATGGATCTGGGCATTTCGTAGTGGGCACTTTTCCATGGCAGGTCATTTGGTTTTACATTGACCCAATATTTATATTTTTATTAGCAAGCAGTTTGCTTTGTGGTCTTGTGTAGAAATGATCCCCTGCATTTAGCCAAAGCAAAAGAAATTAAATATAAAAAAAAGGAACTGCTGCGACCCGGATATCTTGAATACTAGCTACAAGTAACAAAATAAAAAACAAACAGTGTGCTGTCCCTTTAAATCATGAATCAATAAATAACTAAAAAGTGCAAATTTTATAATGAAAACACAATTCATATATATTACATATCATCTAAAAAAATATAAATCAAGAAAAGTCCAAAACAGTGATGGAAGGTGCTCAGTGCTTGTAAACTTCTTCATGTAATGTGCTCTAGTGCTCAAAAGGTGCTCCAAAAAGAGTAAAGGGGCCTCCTACCAAATGGAGATGATCTTAAACCATGAAGATCAAAAGTGCTTGAATTAAAGCCTCAGGCCGGCAATCTCACTGTCAAACCATCAGCCGATTGTACAACCAGATCGATAGAGTGTATGGATGAGCCCAGTCACAACTTCCATTTTTAAATGCAGCTCACCGTACCCATACATACAAAGCTTAAAGGGAGAAGTCTCATAGTGCAGTAAAATCAAATTTAATTTTATTGATAAAAAATATTGCGCTTGCATCAGGGAATTTAGAATAAGCAGTGAAATACAAAAACGCCCGGCCGCAGTATCAGCCGGCATGCTGGTGCGTGATGATGTCACACCAAGCCTCCGACCGGCGCGTTTCTCAAAAAATGAAGTCCTGTGGGATTGGAGATCAGTGTGTGATGTCAGAGATCACCATTTAAAGAAAATAAAACACCGGAAGAACTTCATGTGCACTTGCAGTCACAAAGCCAAACAGCCAAGCAAAAGAGGAACCAAAACCCTTTAGCCCGTACATTCCAGATGACTAATATGGCAATAGATAATAGCAAATTACATCCTGAAAAAAAATCAAAACTCCATCTTGTGGCTGCAATTACACACTGCCTGGCAGGGGCGGACTGACAACTCATGGGGCCCCCCGGGCAATTGGGGATCATGGGGCCCCTGTGTCCTTGCCCACACTCAAAACACACCCAAAAAAAGACTATAAAAGGTACCAGGGGCATTTTATGGGGCCCCCTACTGACCCCAGGCCCTCGGGCAGTGCCCGTGTGCTCAAATGGTCAGTCCACCCCTGCTGCTTGGAATTATGTACAAAAAAAACATATACAGCCAAAAAAACAATATAACCATAATAAAATTAGATTAAAAAATGTGTAACGAATATATTTACAAATTCATAAATGGAAATTAAAAAAAAAATAACTAAAGAATAATATTACCAATAAACATATATTTAAAAAAATAAGTAAATAATATAAATACTTTAAAAATTGAATTTCATGGGAAAAAAAAGAAAAAAAAGAATATAAAATGTAAGTCATAAATACAATCATACTAGATTAAAAAATATATACTGACAGAGAGGGAAAATAATTACATAATAGCAAATACCCAATAAATAATCACAATACTGAGAAAAGTAATCAGCCATTAATAAAAGAATTAACATCCCACTCCACATTGAACCCCAAAGTTGATAAGTCTTGAGGTAAAAAATCTACCATGTTTCATGGCAAGAAATATGCCTTTTCAAATTGTAGAGTTTATTTTTCAATTCCTATAACCCTTAAGGAAGAGGGATCTTTACCAAGGTGTACGGCAAAATGTTTGGAAAGGTTATGAGAAGGAAAACCCTTCTTAACATTGGCCACATCTTCTCCAATACAGACATTTAATAACCTGGTGGTCTTCCTTACATACTGGAGACCACCTTAACAACTCAACAGATAAACTACCCCTTTAGTGTGACATGTTATAAAATCATGAATAGCAAAGCTTTTAGAGGAAACAATAGAAGAAAAGGTGGAAGTCCGACTAGTTTGTGTATTTCCTTTATTTTTTTTATAATTAACAATTTTTATTAAGTTTTCAAAAGAAGCATCTTGTACAACATAAAACAAAATTTCAAGGGATAATGAGGTGGGTAAAATTATAACAGTGTCTGATGGACAATAGTCATATCAATAGCATATAATGACAAAGTTTAGCTCAGAATATGCAACCCTGGGTTAGAGATGTTACAATTAATCAAATAGCTCTTTTCTACAAGTTATCAGTAACATAGACAATATGACCGTCCACATCGAAAACAAAGTACTAGATGGTTATCTTGTAAGCATGAACAAAAAGAAGAAAAAGAGAAACAAAGAAAAGAGACATAGGACTTTCCATTCTCTGAAAGTTACCTGTGTTTACCAGCTGGGAAAGGCCAGAAACCCTCCAAAAAAGAAAAGAAAGTAAAAAAAAAAAAAAAAATCAAGGGTCCTCAGTGGAATGTCAAAGCTCCCAGAGATTGTGTTTGTCAAGGTTATCGGTGAGGGACCGTAAGGGACTCCATAAGTTCCTTGATACTGGCATAAAGCTCAATAGAGGTGGGATATTCTCTTTTTTTTTCCAGCGAAAGGCCACTAAACAACATGCCGTGGTCAAAATGTGACATGCTAACTTTTGGAGCTGTTAGAATGGGTGGAAGTAGGCCAAGCAAAAATACTTTAAGAAGAAAGGGAAAATTCACATGAAATAGACGTCGGAGCAAGTGGTGAACCTCTGGCCAATACTGCCTAAGGGAAGAGTGTGACATTCGCGTGTCAGACCCAAACTTGTGACCGAAGGACTAGCCAATCTGAAACCGCGATGTCACATGCGTAACAATGCAACACCCAGCTTCACCCTGCATACCGATTTTCCAGCTAATGGACCACCAATTGATGTATCGGCAGCCTGAATGCGATTGTTACTGGGTCAGGTTAATTACGCAATTAACCCTTCACACTGCCACCACCTCCTTTTTGTACAGAGAAAGAGGAAACTCGGCAATATCAGCTATAACACTATAAGGGTTGAGGTAATCATCTGTATAGCACTGTCATCGCAGACAGGTTATGCAGAGGGTTAAACAAACACAGTAGTGCTCATTTAGAGGCAGGTATTCATAAGTTTCAATAAAGAGCTATAGAAACAGTTCAACACTTTCATAAGGAAAGATTTATTACTAAAAGGTCAAAAGTGTGCAATAAAAATATTTACAGAAAAAAGATGTAACCAATATATATATAAATATACAGAGAACAACAGCACAGCAAAGAGGTAACAGAAAGGAGGTTAAAGTACTTTGCCAATCAGCCTTGGGTTTGCAGATCAAGTTTCAGAGCAAAAGGGCATGTCTCCCAGGTTGGTTCTGATGTTAAAAGGGAGAATTCTTCAACTTAACTCTTAGGCCTGACAGCCTATTTTGCAGTCCCTCCAGCAGGGGGTGTCTCTGAAGTCAAGGACCAATGCCTCATTTAGGGAGGGATCGTCTGGGTGGAGACCCAAACTAGAACCAAAATCTCTCTTAACTCATTTTTTGGCTCATAACTTTTCCTAGGCACAAGTACTATTCCACCCGCTGGTAGATTCATATGCAGACATATCTGAGGAACGGTTACATATGAAATATGAAATACGTATTTGAAGGGTTCAAGAGATGTAGTTTTCTGCTGTCCTAGGTATTCCAGTCAGGGAGTGTGACCTATCAACTGTTTGTCTTCTCGTGGGCAATCTGAAGATAGGCCTGGTTTTTATGTAAGTCTCTCATATTCCAAGATATGAGACATAGGGGAAAAATGGATTTTAAAAGTGTTATCTAGTCTCTTGCTCCTCTGGAACATCTTTGAACTCAGGGGAAGGCTTGGGTTATCTTTTTACGATGTGCTAGATTGCACAGGTTCTTTGGACAGCGAGGCCCCAGCTCCTTTGGGGGTTTTATAGCTCTGGGCTTCCTGCTGTGCTCCGGCCTCCTGTGACACTGCCAACACACAGGCCATATGTCACTGTGGCTGAACAGAGAGGAAGGGGGGATGATGAAAGATATGTTTGTACAAGATGGTTGATCCTTTGCCAAGATGGAGGTTGGAGCAACATGGTTGAACCGCGTCCATCTCTGTGGCATGATTGCTACAAAGAGCATTGCCAGTATACATAGTTTGTGTATTTCTACATACTTTGCATCTCCTACAGGGGTAAAAACCCATAAGATTTTCACACATTTTACTCTGCAGAGTTCTGCTACAAAATTTTGCGCTATCATATCTCTAATAGTGCATGCCTTCCTAAAACCTGTGGTCGTGCTAGAAGAACCAGGCCTTAAATATTGTTCTCTTCAATATATTCCAATACTTATTCAGAACAGTATTAACCCAATTGTGTTGGGCAGAAAAAGTGGCAAGAAAGGCCCACTCCTGCTTATTAGTCTGTGAATCTCTCTTTTTATTAGACAAAAGAGAGTCTTGATCGAGTTTCAAAACCAAAGCGAGATTTGATTTTACTGCACTATGAGGCTTTTCCCTTTATGCCTTGTATGTATGGGTACGGTGAGCAGTATTTAAAAATGGAAGTTGTGACTGGGCTCATCCATACACTCTATTGATCTGGTTGTACAATCGGCTGAAGATTTGACAGAGTGCTGGCTTGAGGCTTTAATTCAAGCGCTTTTGATCTCTATGGTTTGAGATCATCTCCATTTGGTATGAGGCCCCTTTACTCTTTTTTGGAGCACCTTTTGAGCACTGGAGCACTTTATATGAAGAAGTTTACAAGCACTGAACACACCTTTCATCGCTGTTTTGGACTTTTCTTGATTCATATCTTTTGAAGATATGTAATATATATGAATTGTGTTTTCATTATATAATTTGCACTCTTTAGTTATTTATTGATTCATAATTTAAAGGGACAGCACACTGTTGTTTTTAAATTTGCTTTGTGGTCTTGTGGCAGTGCTAATTTGCCATATGTGGATTTTTAGAGTTCATACGGTATACTGTGGCTTCGTTGACTACTATCTATTGAGAGTGCTGCAGGTTTATCCTCTAAACAGCAGGTGGTGATGTTGCATGTACAAACCGATCTGTCCAAATCCTGTTTATTTATGGCTTATGATGCTATATATAGCATGTAATCACCGGGCAGTCCCTACCGCAGATTGCTCCTATGAGTATTCTTTCACCCATTTCATTCACATTTATGCAACAAAGAACTGGTGTCTGTTTGTAGCTTTCCACCATTACTACCGGAGCCTGATAAGCCGATCCTGTTTGTCTTGCACTAGTTAATCTACATGCAGATCCGACTGATACAGATTGGGGGGGGGTATTGACAGATTTGGGGGGGTATCAATTGAGCGGCACTATTTTCATTGTTTGAGTTACATACTGTATGCCAGTACTAGCAGTTTTAAATCTTCATCAATATGGCAGTGGGGATTAATGACACCCTTGTCCTATCCATTATAGTGATGGGAGACATCAGCCGTTCAATTCCATTTTGACCGTTTATTGCCGTCATAACGGAAACAAACCGTGCATACCTTTCAAAGAATATGACTTCCAGGAATGCTTTTGACTGGAAAGAAGTTATTTGTACTCATGGGATTTTTTTCATTCTATGACTTTTAATTCCATGTTTGCTATTAGAATTTCATAAGCAATTTCTGCACTATTCAGTTTCTATACAAATGCTTATGAAAAAATTCCAGACATGTCACAATATGCAATAATGATATAATTTCCACTTAGCATCCTGGTGAAAGTATTGCTTTTTTTGTTGTATGACTCAGGTTGTCTTCTAGCCCTGCTGTCTGCAGCTTGTCAAAGTCTAGGGCAAGCTGAAATACACTGCTCAAAAAACTTAAAGGAACACTTTGAAAACACATTAGATCTCAATGGGGAAAAATATCATGCTGGCTATCTATACTGATACGGACTGGATAATGTGTTAGGAATGTAAGGGTGCCCCATCGTTTGATGAAAATGATCAACCTACAGAGGACTGAATTCAAAGACACCTCGAAAATCAAAGTGCTAAAATGATGCAGCAGGCGAGTCCATTTTGCTGAAATGTCATTGCAACAATTCAAAATGGTACTCAGTAGTTTGAATGGCCCCCACGTGCTTGTATGCATGCCTGACAATGATTGGGCATGCTCCCAATGAAACAATGGATGGTGTCCTGGGGTATTTCCTCCCAGATCTGGACCAGGGCATCACTGAGCTCCTGGACAGTCTGAGGTGCAACCTGGCAGCGTCTAAAGGACT